GAGGGGCAGGGCTCTCCAAAGAGGGACAAGCTACAAGCAAGAAGCAATCTCTAGGGCTAGACACAAAGAGCCGGTTTACGGCGTCTCCCTCGTGATGATAATGAGACCTAGACACAAACAGCATGTAGGGCTATTCTGGATGATGTTTCCCGGGGCCCGAAGCTGTCTAAATCCTCGTCTTGTGTGTTGATCCGCCCTGCGTCTCTCGTCCCACTCAACCCCTCTCAAGCTACCACATAGATGTGTTGGCCTCGCGACTAAGTCCTGACACTAAGGACATCTGCTGTGACAATTCCACGACAGTTATGATCCTAAAACCATAGCTAATGGTCAGCGGTCAGCCGCGTAAAAAAAACAGTTCTTTATACTATAGTCGACTGCCAGCAGTCCACCATAGTCTCGGGGACTACACCCAGTGGGTGCACTAAGCGTGCCCCCCACCGGTTCTAAGGTTCCATTCGACTTCTGCACACACGACTGCAGCTCTGTCAACCCTGCTAGTCACTTGCAAGTCCCTTCAAATGTCCTGACAAACACTTGGGCAAGATCTTCCCAAGTGTAAATACTGTTGGGTGCTAACTGATTTAGCCATGCTCTAGCCGAACCTTCCAACATAAGGGGCAAATGCTTCATAGCTACCTCATCGTTGCCGCCGCCAATCTGTACAGCCACTCGGTAATCCTCAAGCGAAGTGTCAGGCTTGGACTCACCAGTGAACTTACTGACTCCAGTCGCCAACCTGAAGTTGGGAGGAATCACCGCGGCTCTGATGGCTCTGCTAAAACACTCTGGCCCTGAGACATGAACTCTGTTGCTGGTGGGTATATCTTTGTCCTGGCCTTCTCGGTGAGCTCTGTTCCTGTCGACCAAACCTTGAACGATAATGGATCTCGCATCAAAGCCTGGTTCTCTGGGGTCGACTGGAACCCTTCGCCCAACACTGTGCTGGCGTCTGTCATCCTGTTGCCGAGGAGCGTATGATCCACCTCTTGGGGGAGGGGTGGGCACTCAATGTCGATCATTGCGATCGAATCGGTGCTCATACAGCTCACGGCTCTTGTACTGATCATCACGCCGGCCCCCACGTTCCTCACGCCTCGGGGGCGATCTCGGACTATGGGCCGACTGGACTGAATTCGTAGCGACGGATCTGCTGTGAATCATGTTCCGCGACTGTGATACAACTGAGTTTTGATCTCCTGCTGCCCGGAGTAAATCTCTAATCTGTAGAAAACCTCTACTCGCCTTCGACTGGGAAGGCTGAATCGGCTCTGCTATACGAGCTGCAGCTGCTAAATTCTGAATCGAAGTTTGATATACCTGAGTTGGTTGTTGAAAAAGCTGACATCGACTGGATTCTGGAACCCGTGGTTGCGCGCGCTCGCCGAGTACTCGCTGAAGGTTCTCCAGCCGAGTGCGCTCAGCCAGGTTGGCCAAGCGTGCATCCTCCAAGGCATGAGCCTCGGGAGTTTCTCCAACAATAGGAGTGTGAAGCGCATCCATGTTCCGGCGGCGAAGTTCCTCCCTCTGCAGCGAAGTGAGGGGTTCGGGTAGATACTCTTCGTGAGCTTGCGCCGGATCGCCTCCACCGTCACCTCCGTCGGTGCGGGGGAATCTAGGAGGACTGCGTGGTCCGTCGACCATCAGAACCTCTACCGCCGGATCACTGCTATCGCACTCGGACGCAGTCTCTGCGGAGCCAGTTGACAGATCGAACAGGCCGTAGAGAGATCGTCGGCCTCGATTGCCGCGACTTGGGGAGTGGCCGACTGGCGGGCCACCGCATGCCTCACCCACCGCTGAAGTCTCGACCGACCGGAGCGCTTGCGCCGACGGGAGACTAGGAGTGAGGACGACACAGGAGCCGACCCATAATGGGTCGACGGTTGCCGCAGGAGGACGCCGCAGACGCACGCGCGAAAGTGCGTTGCCCCGCAGACGGTAAGCGTGTCAACGTCGAGTGGAGCCTCCTGAAGCCAAGCGGAGTCGTCGGCGATGAACGTGAGCGCACCGAGACGGATCTCGCGGCCCTCGACCAAAACTCCACCTGAAACCATGATGAAGGAGATCGAAAGAATCCCAACTTCTCCAACAAATCACTAGAACACCTGCCCCATGGTGGGCGCCAACTGTCGTGGTTCTAAATCTGACGGTAGAATGGGGGGTAGGTATGGAGAGGCAAGATCCTAGCTATGGAGGAGTTGTATACGCAAGAGATTTACGAGTTCAGGCCCTTCTCGGAGGAAGTAACAACCCTACATCTCGGAGCCCGGAGGCGGTCGACTGGATTATATGCGTATGAATTACAGGGGTGCGAACCCTTCTGCCTGTGGAGGGGGGTGGCTTATATAGAGTGCGCCAGGACACCAGCAAGCCCATGTAGCAGAGGGTTTAAGGTACATTAAGACCAGGCGTTACTGGTAACGCCTTACATAAAGAGCCATCATGATCATAAAGACTACTTAATTACAGACCGTTTGGACACAGAGTGGCCTCTGAACTCCTGGTGGTCGAGTAAGTCTTCATGGTCGAGTGTCTTTGAATCTGTCGAGTGGAATCCTTCCAGGTCGACTGGAAGGCAGCTTCTATTAAGGATGTCCTTGGGGAGGGTACCTTGGACAGGTCCATGGCCCTACCCTAGGTACATGACTTCATCATCGGTCACGAACGCAAGACTAGTTCGACATTAGCTGACCACCTCAGCAATTGGACACTAGTGATTATCATTAGCGCTAACAGTACATGAAGCAGTATGGCCACGCTATTTATTTATCATTCAATTTTTTTATTTCTTTTATAAATCGTGAATTAAAAAATGTTTGTCGATTTTGAGACAAAAAGTTCACAAACTTAAAAAAAGTCCAACGATTTTGAGAAATAGTTCATCATTTTGAAGAAAAGTTCACCGATTTTGGAAAAAACTTTATGAAAAAGTTTTAAAAGTTCATCGTTTTCGAAAAAAAAGTTCATCGGTTTTCACAAAAAAATCATCATTTTCGAAAGAAAGTTCATCGGTTTTAAAAAATTCATCATTTTCGAAAAAAAGTTCATCGTTTTAAAAAAAAGTTCATCCGTTTTGAAAAATAGTTCAGCGAGTTCAAAAAGTTCATCGATTTTGAAAAAAGTTCATCAGTTTAAAAAAATTTCATCGGTTTTGAAAAATAGTTCAGCAAGTTTGAAAAAGTTCATCGATTTTGTAAAAATCACAAAATTGACGGGAAAATTCATCACTCTTGAAAAAAGTTCATCGAATTTAAAGAAAGTTCATCAGATTTGGAAAACGTTCAACGAATATGAAAAAAGTTTATCAAAATTGAAAAGGTACATTGGATTAGAAAAAAGTTCATCAATTTTAAAGAAAATGTGGATACATTCGAAAGAAAATCATCAAATGAGGAAGAAGGAAAATACAAAAAAGAAAAAATCAGAAAACAAAAAAAAACGAAAGAAAAGATGATAAGAAAAGAAAGTAATGGAATATAGCGCATAAGGTTCCTGTGGCGGGGTGGTTACCATGTTGCGATGAGATCCATGAAATCTTTGGTTCAAGTCCCAGCTCTTGCTGATTTTTTGCGCCGGCTGCAGGCGCCGGTTTGCGGAAAACAGTACGAACCGGCGCCTGCAGCGCTAAATAGGAAATGCCATCGAACCCAGGACCTTGCAACAACTTACTACGTCCGTAGCCACAGTAATACATTCGACTTCGTGTCCAAGATAGCATCCGAGTTGATGTGAACAATGAGCCGCGATAGATTTTAACTTATTTTCAAATTTCAGACATTATTTCTTTGAAAAAATAAATTTCTCCAGCAACACCAACATTTTTTGAAGAAAGAGAAACAAAATTTAATAAATAAACATTTTTTGAATTTACGATTTTTTTAGAAACGTGAACATTTTTTGAAAAACAGGAAAAGACTTGAAAAGTTGAACATTTTTTGAGAATAAGGAACATTTTTTCCAAATCATGAACATTTTTTAGAACAACGAACATTTTCTCCAAATCATGAACATTTTTTGTATTTGCGAATTTTTTTTTGAAAACCTGATACTTTTAATTTGTGAACAAATTTGGCAGGCTGAAACATTAATTGAAATTACCAAACATTTTTTAGATTTATGAAAAAATGCAAACATTTTTTAAATTCTCATACTATTTTGAGTGTCAGAATGAATTTTCAAAACGTGAGCAATTTAAAAAATCTAGAACGAAATTAGAAGCCCGGAACATTTTCTCAAGTTTCCAAACATTTTTTGAAACCCGGAACAAATTTTCAAAACATGAACATTTTCAAAAGTTGCAAACAATTTTTCTAAATGGGAACATTTTTTGAAATTTCCCGAATTTCCGAAATTTGTGTACAAAAACTTAAGATGCGAACATTTTTCAAATTTCTGAAATTTTGTTGAAAAAGAAAACAAAAAGGAAAACAGAAAAGGGAAAAACGAAAAAGAAAATACAAGTGGAAAAAGGAAAAAAAACAGTAAAAAACCGGTTCAGAGAACCTTCTGGAAGGTTCCCAAAACGCTTAAAACCAGACAGAATTGCTAGAAGGTTCCTAAAACCGAATCACGTATAATTGGGCCGGGCCAGTGGAGCGATCCGCTCGACATTATGACGCAACGAGCGTCCGTTCAATAGGGATTTCCTGGGCCTAGGGCCTACGACACGGCCCCGTCCGTGGTGGGCACGTTTTAGCTTGGCCCGATCCGTGCCAGCCCATCTCGCCAGGTTTGGGTACCACACGCGTCTTGCCTCATCAAAAAGGAAAAAAATCTGCCGATGTGCAGCAC